ATTATGCTAAGTGAAGTAAGTCAGAAAAAGACAAATACCATAGATTTCACTCTATGTGGAATTTAAGAAACAAAACAGATGAACATAGGGCATAGAAAAAAACAGAGAGAGAGAGACAAACCAGAAAACAGACTTAACTATAGAGAACAAACTGAGGGTTGCTGGAGGGGAGGTGGCTGGGGGGATGGGCTAAATAGGTGATGGGTATTAAGAAGGATACTTATGATAAGCACTGGGTGTTGTATGTAAGTGATGAGTCACTTAATTCTACTCCTGAAACCAATATTACACTATACGTTAACTAGAATTTAAATAAAAATTTGGAAGAAAAAAAATGAACAAGCAAAAAAAGAAAGAAAGAAAAAACTGTTAAAAGATTATAAAGTTCATCTGGGCAAGTAAATATGCAAAACTTGCCAAGACGTGTTTAAAAGAAGTATAATAGGGGTGCCTGGGTAGCTCTGATAGTTAAGCGTCTGCCCTTGGCTCAGGTCATGATCTCAGGGTCCTGGGATCGAGCCCCACGTCGGGCTCCCTGCTCAGCGGGGAGTCTGCTTCTCCCTCTCTCTCTGCCTCTCCTCCTGCTTGTGCTCTTTGTCTCTCTCTCTCAAATGAATAAATAAAATTTAAAAAAAAAGAAGTATAATAAAGGGGCACTTGTTCTCGCAAGTATCAAAGCTTTCTAAAAGAAACAGTAATTACAAATGCATAGAACTATTGTATAGAGCTCCTTTTTTAAGTCACTTAAACATAGTAGTGAGTTAACAAATAGGCCATATACATACAGGGATTAGGGTGTGATACAGGTAATTCAAAGCAATAGAAAAATAATGTTGAAGCAGCTGACCAACCAGCTAGAAAGAAATTATGTCAGATCCCCATCTCGCCCCATATTAAAAAGATGCCATATTTTTAAAAACTTGAACTAAGTATTTTTAAAATTTTACAATCTTACAATGGGAACGGTTTTCCTAAGCATGACGGAAAAACCCAGAAGCTCTAAAGGAAAGGTGATAGATTCGACAACATAAAAATGGAAAATTGCTATGTAGCGAGACGCCTGACGAGGCATTCGAGAATGAGGAAATATCTGCAGGGCATAGAACTAAAGGCTGATCTCCGTAATCTGTCCCTTCCTATCAACATCAAATCCATGACTGGTCAAAGAACACAAAAAGACAAATCCTAGAAAAAGAACCACAAACAGCCAATAAACGCCTGACACAACTGTCTCCACCTCACACAGAGCATTTCAAGTGATCACTCATTTGTCACGTAAGATTGGCAAAGATTAAAAATATCCATTGTTGGCAAGGGTGTAATATACATCGGTGGAAGGGTAGAGTAATAGAATCGTTAACCTTTTGGGGATGTCGTTTGCCAGTGTTCATTATCATTTCAAATAGGACTTCTAGCAATTCTGTTTCCTGAAATATGTCCTAAAGAATTACATAAATATAAGGATACATAAGAATTACATATATATAAGAGAATTCTATAGCGTTGTTTGTAACAGCCTATTATGTCCAACCAGAGGGGAACAGTTAAATAAAACTATGATACATCTACATGGAGGAATATTAATGGATTGATTACCTATCATTGTGTAATAAAAATTACCCCCAAACTCAAAACCACAATAAACATTTATTATCCTTACTGTTTGTGTGTCAGATATTCGGGAGTGGCACAGATGGGCATTTCTGGCTCAGGATCTCTCCTGAGGCTGCAGTTATCTGAAGGCTGACCTGGAGCTGGCAGACCCTCCTCCAAGGTGGTGCTCGTTGCTGGCCAGAGGCTGGGTGCAGTCCAGGTGGCCTTCTCCACTGGCTGTGTTTCTTGAGTGTCCTCACAACACAGTGGCTGGGGGCCCCGAAGTGAGCAATCCAAGAGAGGCTAAGGCTGAAACTGGGATGTCTTTTAAGCCCCACAACGTCATTTCCACGGTACCCTATCAATCACACAGAACAACTACAATTCAGTATGAGGGGAGTCTATGCGGGTATAAACACCAGCAGCAAGGATCATTGAAGCTGAAGTTCAAAGGCTGAATAGCAGGGAAGTCAGATAAAGAGAGTGCAAGGAGACACCTGCAAAAACCTTGAAAGAAATTTACCAATAGGAAGTAGAGATGAGGCTGGAGAGGTAAATGGAAGCTGATTCATGGCAATCATTCCAAGCTGTGTTAAGGAGCTTGATTTTTATATAAAGCCACAAAGCCACCAGCAGAGTTCTATTTCAGTAAGGTAACTCTGGTTATTACATGGAGGGTGGACTGAGTGGACAAGGACAAGGGGGTAAGGATGGAGGTTAGGCCGTCAGCTAGGAGGCCGTTAAAATGATCCTGACAAGGAATGGTAACTTGGATGAGGGTGGTGGCAACAGAAGAGGAGAAAAGTCAGGCAAGTTCTGAGATATCTAGGGACAAGTCCAACAGGACTCAGTGTTTAGATACATGGATTACACGATGGGGGGAACCACATTTGGCTCCTAGGGTTTTGACTTGAACGATTAGGTGATTGGGCACAGGGGATGAAAAACAGGTTTGGGGTTTAGAAAATTTATTTTTTAACAAGTTGAGTTGGGGATGCCTGCACACATGGAAATGTCGAATAGGCAGAGGCTCCATGGGACCTGGAGGTCAGGAGCTATGCCTGGGCATAAAAACTCATGAGCCATCAGGATATCGGTAGAAACTGGCAGCCATGAGCCTGAGAATCGTTGCTTTTAAAAGGAAGAGTTTACAAGAGCCTGAAAAGGAATGAGAGGTAGACAGGAGGAACACCAGGAGAGTCTACTGTCACAGAAGATAGTGGTGATCCAGAGTGGTCACACTAAGCCAAGCAACTTAGAACAAACATTGTACATCAGCTAAGAAAAAGACAGTAGAGACAGAGAGTTTTCTCCCTCAGTCCCAAGACAGAGTACTTTTCTGGGAAGGATGTGAACAGCATTGATGACTTCTGGTATGGTGCTTCTCAAAGTGTGGTGTACATACAAATAACCTGGGGATTATATGAAAACACAGATTCTGGCTCAGTACGTCTTGCGGAGGGCCTGAGATCGTGTTTCTAAGAAAGTTCCAGGTGATACTGATGCTCCCAGCCCACAGCCATCTGGAATAGCAAGGCTCTCAAACTTCACTGAGCATAGACTCACATGGAGAAGGTCTTGAAACAGATTATTGGGGCCTGCCCCTACAGATTATGATTCAGTAGGTCTGGTGCAGGATCTGATAATGTGCGTTTCTAACAACCTCCCCGGCGATGGTGACAGTGATGCCACAGTTCCCCAAGACCACAGTTTGAACTGCACCATTCTAGAGCATCACAGCTTAATGACTGCTGGCCCCAACAGAGAGAGAAATCCATTTGGATCTCAAAACGTAATGCAAACCAGAAGTATTCCCGTATACCACTGCAGTCAGTCGTGACTAGCGCTCACGGAGGGCAGGGCCTACTACTTGCTATCCATCACCTCATGGTTACTCTATCACAGAGAAGGACTCCTTCTTAATTGACATATTCGCTCTGAAGACTTAACTCTCAGCAGTGGATGCCTACTTTTTATAAGTCTCAAAGCTTTATCTTGCTGGTAAAGCCATTTCATGATATTAAACCAAGCAGCTGCTAATGAGTACTACTTCCTTTACTCAGAGGATGTACATTGCACCACAGGCACAATCTTCCCCAGAGTGACACAGTTTTAGACAAAACCCTATATACAAAAAGGGAAAAATTTTATTGAAGGAAGAATCAATTCACATATGTATTTATTAAGGACCCAAACGTGTTTTATGTAAGGCATCTAAACATGAAAGAGACGGATTTCAAAAATAATCCCTGCTCTCCAATCCGTAACATCAAAGACACCAACAATCAAGTTAAAACATGACAAATGCCATCTGAAAAGACACCTACTTATTTTTCTTAAAGCCACCCAGCAGATACCTCAATCCATTTGCACAGAATGTGTGCTTGTTATTAATAGCAACAGACACAGGAAGGAGGAGAAAATACCCAACAGGGGTGACCAGGAAAGGCTTCCTGGATGAAGCAATTTCGTCTTGGAATCAGAAAGACGGACAGTCTTTTCACAGGTGGAAGACCCAGACGACCAGACCATCCCTTAAGAAAAATCAATTAAACACGTGGTCTGAGCATCTGCTGACAAAAGGCTTCATCTACCGTTCTTGGCAGAGTGAAGAACGAGAAGGAAACCCAGGTAAGAGCACAGTACCTGCCCTCAAAAAAGGCTTACACTCTAGTTTGGAGAGCAAGACAAGCGTGTGCTCGAAGGCGAGGTTAAGGAACGAGCGCGCCGCCCCCACCCCAACACTAGGGGGGAGTCTTGGGAGAGGCGAAGGTATCCCCGGCTGCTCTCACAGGCAGGCAGTCAGCAAACGCCTCCCCAGCGCACGCCAGCGGGCAGCGGGGCCTGGGGGGCGGCCGAGACCCGGGAAGGGGCGCGCCGGGCCGAGCGACGCGGGAGGCGGGGAGAGGCCGGAGGGGTCGGCCTGCTTCGGTCCGCGCGGCCCTTACAAAGTCCCCCGCACCCACCAGCACGGGCGGGTAACAGGCGGCCACGGGCGCAAGCAAGAGGTTTCCGCGACCCCAAGGCGCGCCCCACTCTCAACCCTGGGGGTCTCAGTGGGGCCACCGCCAGACCTGAAGCGACCCCCCCCCGGAGCCGGGTTCCTCCTCCCCCTGAGCCGCCACCTCTCGCTCTGGCCTGGGAACGGCGTTAGTCTGCGGGGCCGAGAGCAGCCTCGGAGGCTCAACATTCGCACTGCGGGGCCGGGGGCCGGGGGGCCGGGAGCTCCGCGGTCTCCGCGGCGGGACGCGGGGGGCGGGGCCGGCGCAACGAGCGGAAATGCGCTGCTTCCTTCCGGCAGGCGCCGCACGAGACGGGGCGGGGCGCCCCGGGAAGGGGCGGGGGCTCGCGCTGACGGACGGCTCCCGGGACCTATGGGTGCGGCCGCGGCGGCCCGGCCTCCCCGGCGCGCCCCTTCCTCGGGGCCGCGGACGCCCCCCGGTTCCCCATTTCTCGGGTGTCGCGCGAAGCTCCGCAGCTGCCCGGTGGCCGCTGTCTGGTCCTCTCTGTCCTCGGGGCGCGTTGCGGGCCGTCCTGCGGCCCCGCCCCCGCGGCCCTTGGCGCCCCCCGGCCGGCCGACCGGCCGGCCTCCTTCCCCGCCCGGAGCCGCGCGCCAGGACGCCTGAGGCCGCAGGTCTGTGGCTGCGTGTCGGGCCGCTGGCGGCGCGAGGGGACACCGGGCGCGAGGCTTCGGCTGTGGGCCGCGGGGTGTCCGGCGTTCCGCCGAATGCGCCGCGACCACCGGGAGCCCGCGGGCCGCCCCGCCGCGCAGTCGGGGGGCGCGGTCCGGGCCCCGGGGCGTCTGGGGGCGCCCGGGTGGGGGACGTGGCGCACGCTTGCTCGGCGCGAACTGCGGGGCCGGGGGCGGCAGGTCGGGAGTGAGGAAGTTTGCCGAGGGCGGGGCCGCGTTCGCCGGCCACTTCTCGCTCCGGCCGCGCCGGCCTGGTCGGTGCCGGCCTCGGCGGCCGCGCGACTCTACCCAACAACCAGAGCAAGTCCCCTAACTTGGGCGGCCGCCGCCGGCCCCTCGGCGTCCGCTGGGGACACCCGGAGCTGTGGGGCTGGGGTGCGGTAGGATGCTGAGTGACGTGCCCTGCAGCGCCCGGGACACTCGGGGCGTGCTGGCGCCTCGGAGTAGAGGACAAGCGTCGCTTTCATCTCCCTTTTCCAGTGTTTAAGATGGCATTCCCTTTCATTTGGTGGGGAAACTTTTGTTTCGTAGTTCGTGCGATTATCACAGTTGCCTGACACAGAGCTGGCACGAAAATATTTGTTGCCCTTCTGTCCTAACTTGTTAGAGTGTATCCGCTGTGGGATATTTACAACTCCTCCCGAGCCCTTAGAAAGGGCATGATTCTAGGATAAGGTGAGTGGGGGATGAGCCCATCTACAGCAGTATGACTTTTTGCCTGTACTCCTTTTCCTCCCTCGCTGCTACAGGTTCTCCATTTTCATTGTACTTAACTGTTTTTGCGTCTCACTTTTTTTTTTTTTTGTATGAATGACTGAACGAACGAATAAATTGTATAATTTTGGTTGGTTGGTTGGTTCTTTCTATAAAGCAAGTTGTTTGTTTAGGAATTGATAAACTGCCCTAACAATGGTGCCCGGCACCTGGTCATATTTCATAGTAATTAGTAAAACGCTGTTCATTATTCAGAGGAGTGAAGCAAGATGTTCCGGAGGACTGTAGCCAGCTTTCTCACTGCCACCACTCCCTCGCCTCCCACTCGCTGCTTCCAAACCAGGCTTCTGCACCCTGCCTTTACTCCCACTTTTGCTCCCTGGGATAGCAGGCTGCCCTGATTGGCACACCCCCGCTGCCATCACCACTGAGGCGTATTCCTAAAGCTTCCAGTATGAATTGTTTTTAAAGAACATCGGTATTAAAATTCAGATACCTGAGACAAAACAATATTTCGCTTCTTCAGAATCCGAATTCCAACAGATTTACTACTGAATACCTCTTCCCGTGGTACGGAACTGTAGAACATGATCCAGAACTGCATAATTATGTGACCAATTGCAAGGTAACTGCAGTGGCTCAGGAAGGAGAAAGATCAGCGGCCGCTGGCACAACCACAGACAGGAAGGCTTCTTGGAAGAAGGGCAGGGGCTTGTCTGGGATGCCCACCTGTATTCATAATTCTTGTTGGGATGTATTAAGTAAATATTTGTGTTGTGTCTTCACAGTAACTTTGAAGGCTGGTTAAGATGGGAAAGTGGGAGGGCATGCTAAGTCAGGGACAAGGCTTCAAGTCACTTAAGCACAGATGAGCACAGGGTGTGTTGCGGAGAGGGCACTGGCATATGGACAGGGAGTTTACTTTTCTGTCGTTTTGTAGGAGTGGTTGGAAGAACAATGCATGTAAGTCTTTGACACCATGATATCCATCAGGCAAAGAAAAGGAGTGAAAACCACAGAAGTTTCTGAGGATTATGCAGCACAAGAAGCAAATGTGAAGTTGGAAAATAAATTGCCATCTGGTAGGTGATTTAAATTAAAGCAGCATTTGGGATTGCTTTTATTTCTGCATATTAAAATATCACTCTCCAATAGGATAAGAATTTGGTGAGACCTAACAGCTGAGACTTGATCTAATACCCTGATGTTTTAGTTCGACAAATTATTTGATTGCAATTTGATAATACTGGCGTTTCAGTTATGATCACATAAAAGGTGAAACAGCTCTGATTAGAACCCCTTGTTTCTCAGCTTTGTGTTCAGTAGGTTCTGGTTTTGCCAATCTTTGACTTTCTAAAGTAATGCTTTCCCCCATGGTTCAGAGTTTAGTCTGTTTCTAATTTTTCTGGGTTTGTGTATTCTGTTCACTCTAGACACCCTTACCTTGGGAGACTTTCTCATTTCATTAAGGTATTGAAAAATGAATCAAACTTTTTTTTTATTCTTTATATGAATTCCTGAAATTTTCTCCTTTGGTTTGGGGAGGGAGGATGGTCAGAATTTGGTGAGTTGTTTATATAATGCTAAAGACTCTTGCTAAGCTGTACATCAAATATTAATTACCAACTTCCTGACTCCAGAGTTGCTTTCTTAACTAAGCGTGGTCAAGGTTTTTAAAAATAAGCATGAAAAAATTCCATGTCTATCAACTATTTTGGATATCGACAGAATTTACATTAATGGCAGCTGTGTTAATTCTTTTTTTTTAAAAGATTTTATTTATTTATTTGAGAGAGAGAAAGAGAGAGCATGAGAGGGGGGAAGGTCAGAGGAAGAAGCAGACTCCATGCTGAGCAGGGAGCCCCATGTGGAACTTAATCCCAGGACTCAAGGGTCATGACCTGAGCCGAAGGCAGTTGCATAACCAACTGATCCACCCAGGCACTCAGCAGCTATGTTAATTCTTATCAGCCAGAACAAGTAAAGTAATTTGGGGGAACAGTTTTATAAAATAAAATTAATCTGTATTGAGAAGTCATGCCATCCAACTCCGCTGTTAGCAATTTTGGACAAGACAGAGTACTTTCTAAAGACTTAAACAGTGTAACTTCAAGTTTGCTTTTTTGTTTATTATTTATTTTTTAAAGATTTTTTTAAAAAAATTATTTGAGAGAGAGATAGAACATGAGCTGGGAGGAGAGGGAGAAGCAGGCCCCCCACTGAGCAGGGAGCCTGACTTGGGTCTCAACCCAGGACTCTGGGATCATGACCTGAGCTGAAGGCAGATGCTTAAACGACTGAGCCACACAGGTGCCCCAAGTTTGCTTTTTTATATTAAAACATAATTTTGAGAATTCTTCATTTTACTGAAGCAGCATTTATTTATTCATGTCTGAAAAAAACCCTGAAAACTAAAGAAAAGCAAAAAAAAAAAAAAGAAAGAAAGAAAGAAAGAAGGAAAAAATACTCCCACAAACAAATCCATCCTTAGACTTCCACCCATGAAACTTGATCTTGCTGTCTAAATGTCTCTGCATTCAGATGTGGTTTTACAAAATTGAGATCCCAGCTGTTTTGTAACTTGCTACATTTCTTTTATTATGTTACAAACATATCATAAGTCAGTCAATGTATTTTTTTTTTTAAGATTTTATTTATTTATTTGACGAGAGAGAGAGAGAGTGAGAGCAGGAACACAAGCAGGGGGAGTGGGAGAGGGAGAAGCAGGCTTCCCACCGAGCAGGGAGCCCGATGTGGGACTCGATCCCAGGACCCTGGGATCATGACCTGAGCCGAAGGCAGACACTTAACGACTGAGCCACCCAGGGGCCCCAGTCAATGTATTTTAAAAATGTTATCAGTGGGGCGCCTGGGTGGCTCAGTTGGTTAAGCAACTGCCTTCGGCTCAGGTCATGATCCTGGAGTCCCGGCATCGAGTCCCACATCGGGCTCCCTGCTCGGCAGGGAGTCTGCTTCTCCCTCTGACCCTCCTCCCTCTCATGCTCTCTATCTCATTCTCTCTCTCAAATAAATAAATAAAATCTTTAAAAAAAAAAAATGAAAAGTTATCAATGTAGTAGTTGTGTGGCTATAGCATAATTTAATTCCTTGTTGAATATTTAGATGGTTTTTAACCTTTTACCTATATAAACAGAACTATGATAAATATACCTGTGGCCAAATGTTTATTTAAAACTTTTATTTCTTTGGGGTATATGCCTGGATTTAGAATTATTGGTCAAATAGTATGCTCATTTGGGTAGCTTTTTACTACTTACTGCCATGTTGCATTCCAGAGAGTTACCAAGTTACTCTTCCACCAGCAGTGCTTGAGAAATACTCATGTTTTGTACCCTTATTAAAACAGTGTTAGCATTTTTAAGCTATCAAATTGGCCAACATCTAAAAAGTTATAGCTCATCGTTTTAATTTGCATTTCTCTTTTTTGAGAGAGAGAGGGAGAGAGAGAGAGAATGTGGGCTGGGGAGGGAGGAGGGCAAAGGGAGAGGGGGAGACAAATCCCAAGCAGGCTTAAGGGCCAGCACAAAGCCCAACATAGGGCTCAGTCTCAAAACCCTGAAACCTGAGCGGAAGATCAGATGCTCAAGCCACTGAGCCACTCAGGTGCCCCAATTTGCATTTCTTTAATACTGATGAATGTGAATATTTTTGTCTATTATTGGCCGTCTTTTTCTTTTGTACTTTGCCTACTCGTATGTTTAATCTTTTCCAACTGAAATACTTATTTTTTTAATCCTGAAAGTGTTCATCCCGTATTAAGGATACTTAAACTTTCTTATATGTGCTATAAATACTTTTTCCTAGTTTATGTGTCCTTTAACTTGAGTTGTGATGGATTTTTCTCCCCTGATGGGTTTTTGGATTTTAAGTTGCCAAGTTTTTTGGTAGCTTTTAATGAATAAACGACAAATTATATGTAGACCATCACAGAGACTTTTTTTTATCCTAGACATGCAACCCATTTACTCCTCCGAATTTCATAGGTAAACTACAGTTATTGAACTATGCCAAACACAGACCCTACATAAAAAAATGAATAAGATAACTTGCTTGTCCTCCAAAAGCTCACACTGGCAAAATGGACAAGTGAACAATTAGATACAGTCGCATAAAAACTGTAGTAAAGTATGAAAACAGGTCTCCAAAATCACAGAAAGGAGCCTCTGAGTGTCTCCTGGGAATAAGGAAAGCTTCAGCAGTGACAGTCAGCTGGAACTTAGCATACCTGATAGGCTGAAGTAGAACTAGTAAATTCTACATTCTTTACTCACTTAGCTGTTTGTTTTGTTTTTCTAAAAGGTTGTACCACTAGAAGGTTGTGGAAGCTTCTGTCATTTACGGTTGGTGGAACCATTGCCCTTTGCATTGGACTTCTAACATCTGTCTACCTGGCCACTTTACATGAAAACGATTTGTGGTTTTCTAATATTAAGGTATGAGGTTCCTATGACTGTTGTATGATTTACTCATCAGTATCTCCAGTAGTTAACCATATAGATGAATGACCAAGATAATGCAGTTTTGCCATAAAGAATCTAATCTCTTAAAAGCCTTGGCTGTAGCGTAAAAAGACTTCGTTAGTTTAAAATTGCATCAGAATTTTTGTAATCAGTGAGTTTTCTCATTTTCATTAATTTGCTCCAGTTACACGGCAGATACTGTAAACCAGTATTTTTCAACCTGTACATTGTGAAATTGGCACAATAAAACATGAGTAACGTTTTTCTTAGTTAAAATAAGATGGGAGAGAGTATTATCACATACGCTAGGGTTGAGAGGTATTTGTGTAACTATTAATTATAGGTATGTATGTGCAAACCGGGTCACAGTATACATTTTTTTTCTGTTCGGTACAGTAAAAAAGAAATCAGAAGCCAGTGCTGTAAACCATAGATCCACAGATGACCGCAGTGTGTTCATACCTTTCTAGTCGTAGATGCAGTGCTGAGAGGGCGGAGAGCCACTGGTTTTCTGAGGAAGGGAGTCATGATTTTCATCACGTTCTCAGGAGGGTCTGTGACTTCTTAAACCCCAGTTTCCTTGTTCTCTGTTTTCTCTTTTTAAACATTTCTAAGCGTCTTTTAATTTGCCATTGTTTTCGGAACAAGTATCACTTATGCAAGGAAACTCCCACATCGCCGGTACTTTTCATCGAAATATACTTTGTTTTTGATCCAAAATGTTATGATCTTTGACCGTATTTACTGTGGCTCCTAGTGACTAGTTGCTGGTAAAGGTAAAATTCACTTTGAAAAGGTCAAATATTTATCACCTCTGTGAATATTTTTAAAAGTCTGTGCAGAATCTGAAACAGTTCTCAGAGTTTTCCCAAAGTATTTTGAGCTTTGGTTCCATTATTGGAATGAGTCTCCAAAGGAGAGACTACTTTGAATGACAACTTTAATTTATAGGAATAACTTCTTGTATGTTTATTTTAAAAACCTGTCCTATTACTCTATAGGTGTAGTGTGTATATACCTTCATACAGATTATCATGGTACAAAGAATAATTCTTACCCTTCACGGACAGTGGGTAGTTTTTCTTGTCAAGAAAAATTCTACTCACTTTTATCTCTTTAAAATGGAGTGCTTATAAACAGATTTCTTAGAACTAAACAATGTAATACTTTTTTATCCACACAAGTATTTTGAATAAAGACTGAAATATCCCTGTGTGGGCATATGGCTGAAACTAAATGCTAGTAACTCTGTAGTAAGGAGAAGATGCTGAAACAGATCACCTAACTTATTTTCAAGCTGTAATTTTAGCTCTTTAAAGTTTTTAAGTGGCCTTGCTAATAACCTCAAATAAATACACCCCATCATTAAGAAGCCTGAGCACCCTTGATTTTTTCTCTTCAATCTCGCCAGGTTAGAGAGGCATTGTACTTTTACCCAGTATTTATTGAGCGCCTCTTCTGTGGTAGCATTGATCTAAACACTGTGGGGAACATGGAGAGAGTAACGAAGACTAATGAATTTGCCGGCAGACTCTCCAGTGTAATACGCTAATTCTGTACATACGTGTTGAGCACTGTAGGATGCCAGCAGGTGCGGTGCCCAGTGGCAACACTGCCAACTAAAACCAGGCCCCAGCCTTCAGGGTTTTACTCTCTGGAGGGTATAGGCAAGTAGGCGGACAGCGACAGCCCGTCCAAAGTCAGTACATTGATGGGGTAGGATAGAGTATTGCGGGAGCGCAGAGCAGGGGTAGCCCAACCCGGTTCTGGAAGATGAGGGAAGGTTTTCTAGAGGAAGTAATGGTTAAGGAGACCTGAAGGATGAGAAGGGTTAACCAGACAAACTGGGGAGGAAAGATGAATGTCCTAGGGGAGGGACGTGTACAGGAACTTCAAGAGGCAAGAGCGTTGAGAGCGTTCAAGGTGTTGGCAGTAGTTTGGCCTGGCTGGCGAGTAGATGGGGAGAGCATGTACTGGGATGGTAAACAGAGGCCAGGTCATGAAGGAACAGCAATGTCATCATCTTGTTTGAGAAAGATGGCTCCGGCTACAGTGTGGAGAGTGGATTTGAAGAGGGTAACACTAAAGTGAGAGGAAACCACCAAGAAAATCCAACTCAGTGGATTCAATAGTACCTGAATGTCAGTAAATGCATGTTTTATGTGTGCCAGACACAGATTCAGGCCCTAAGAATATAGCCTTTGAATCGGATATGGAACTAAATTCTGATGAGGAGGGAAAAAATAAGTGTATTATGGTGGAAACCAGACAGTGTGGTGACCTAGTTATTGGGAGGCTACTTGAAATTGGGAGGGAAAGCAGACCATTTTGAAGACAAGACCTACATCAGTACTTACATCCTAGGAAGGAACCAGGCAAGCTAAGTCTGTGAAAGTCTCCTAAGCAGAGGGAACAACAAGTGAAAAGGCCCTTGTGTAGGACAAAACCTATCTAGTTGAGTATCAGAGAGAAGGCACGTGGGGCCAGAATCTTATAAGCAAAGAGGAGAATAGAACCAGAGGAGAAAAGACCGGATCCTGCTGGAGAGAAGTAGACAGTCAGAGCTTAGGAAGGATGGAGCGATTCATCATTTGTGTGGATGGTGAGTGAGAAGGAAGAATCATCAGTGATGATCTGCTTTCTCCCATTAGCAGCTGAATAGATGGGTGGATATGCCATCCACTGTGATAATGAACCCTGTGGGAGGAACAGATCTAGAGTGCAAGAGCTTCCGTCACCACCTACCCAGAGTTAAGCTGAACTTGACAGGTTAAGGGCACAGTGTGCCACAAAACTGCTCTCACTTTTGACACCACTTAACAAGTTTGGGGGTCCTCAGGCTACCCTCACTTCTGACTACAAGTAGACTATAAACTTGGCGATACCTACTATCCCCTCAGGTTCAGTAATTCCCTAGAATGCCTCACAGAACTCAGGAGAGCCTTACACTTATGAATACAGTTTTATTAGGACAGATATAAATCAGAACCAGCCAAAGGCAGAGACTCATTGAAAGAGGACCCCAAACTCAGGCTTTCCCTTGTCCTTTCCCTGTGGAGTTAGGCACCTTGATGTATGATGATGTGTTGAACATTGCCAACCAAGGAAGCTCACCTGAGCTCTGGTGTCCAGAGCTTTGACTGGAGTTTCATTATGTAGGTATGACTGATGGAATCATTGGCCAGTGTTGAATTCATTCTCCAATCCCCCTCTCCTCCCCGGGGGTTGGGCCAGTATCAGCTGGCTCCAAGCCCCAACCCTCTGAGCACACGGCTGGTCTTTCTGGCTTGGTCGGCCCCCATCCTGAGTCATCTCCTTAGAACAGACTATCAAGTGTCGTCCTGAGGAACCCACTGTGAACAAAGACACTGTTCTCACTTGAGAAATTCGAGGATTTACTGGCTCTCTCCCAGGAACTGGGGACAGAGGCCAGCCAAATTCTTTCCAGGGGACAGCAAGACAGCAAATGATACATCCTTGTTTGGATACGTTATGAGTCACTTTTGAAACAGTCCAAGGAGAGAGAGGGAGAGTAGAGGGAGCTGGATTCATGGATCTGGAGGCAGGAGATCCATCTGTGTTGGAAATGGACATTTTCATATTACCAGCTTGTAGACGTGTGGGCAAGAATGTTTGAGGAGTGTGCAGAGTGAGAAAGAGACCCTAGGCTAGTTTCTGTCTATGCCTCAGATACCATCTGGGAGAAGCTATAAAACAGGAACATCCTCAAATCTAACAGGTTTCTTTCCACCAACACCCCCGCCCCCTGAAACGTACAGTTGAGCTCAGTCTTACAGCATTTTTTTCTCTTTATTCAAGCAATAGCTTGTAGCACAGAATTTTTTTTTCCCTCTGTATCACAAGAGGAATCCTCAGATGTTTCAACTACTCAAACCTGACGATACCTCTGCATAGGCGCTTGGTTTATTTTTCTCTTAGGAAAACCCAGTGCTATCCAATGAAACTTTCTGCAGTGAAGGAAATGATCTATTTCTGCACTGTTCAGTGTAGCAACCACTAGCCAAATGTAGCTGTTAAACACTTGAGATGTGGCTATTGCAACTGAGGAACTAAATTTTACATTTTACTTAATTTTAAAATGTGTATACATTTTCTGTGAATAAACCAATGAAAATGATAGCTATTAGTGATCAGAGACATGAGTCAGCCAAAGGGAAAGCTCATTTTCAGAGTTTATACGCCTTCAGAAATTTACTCCTTAATTTATACCGTTTTCATATTGGGGGATTATGGGAATATTTGAGAAGTGTAAATCTGTTTTCCTTTTGTACTTATGGGTTATAACTTACCAAAATTGCTAGGCTGTTTTTTATGAAAATACTTTGATCTTCTCTGAATACTTTGAATTAGTTGTAATTATTCAGAGTAAAAACATTGCTTCCAAAATAGACAAATCATACATTGAGTTTATGCATTCAGAATGATAACTTTAAATGTTAGTTGCTAATCTTAACAATGTTAGTATTTGCATGTGGGAACTCTGGACCAGGGAGCAACTTGAAAGTTGAAGATGTTGGTTTAAATGGTCATAGAAAATGTGTATATACTATCCTTTTTTAGCATATTTTTTAGTTTTAGTTTCTATTTAAATTCCAGTTAAAATGCAGTATAATATTAGTTTCAGGTGTACAGTTAGTGCTTCATCACTTCTATACATCACCCAGTGCTCATCACAATAAGTGCCCTCCTTAATCCCCATCACCTACTTCACCCATCCCCTCAACCACCTCCCCTCTGGTAACCATCAGTTTGTTCTCTACAGTTAAGAGTCTGTTTCTTGGTTTGCCTCTCTTTTTCCCCCTGTGATCATTTGTTTTGTTTCTTAAATTCCACATGTGACTGAAATCATAGGGTATTGGTCTTTCTCTGACTGACTTATTTTGCTTACCATTATACACTCTGGCTCCATCCATGTCATTGCAAATGTCAAGATTTCATTCTTTCTTTTATAA